GTGGGTGTGTGTGTGTGTGTGTGTGTGTGTGTGTGTGTGTGTGTGAGAGAGGTGAGTTGATCCAGTAGCTCGGGCCGTCTACCCTCAAGGATAATACACACAGATTCCCCTCCAACAAGCCTCATGAAACACAATCTGTGCTCCATCTCAGTCAGAGTCAGGCTGTTCAGAAAGTGTGTGTGCATTATATTGAAATGCAATCTGTCCTCCTGCAGCCCTACAGCAGTGTGAGCAGTGTGCCACCGCGCTGTAATTTTAAGCAGGATAGAGTCGTTCTGTTTGATTGTTTTCCTCACACACCTCACACACTAGCATGCAAAGGGGTCATGGGATATTGAATAATCACACTGGTTTTTAATTTTAGTTGTTATACACGCCAGAGGCGAGTTCAAAGCACATTTAGGTTGCACACATTCCCTTGGTTGTGCATGAAACATGACAATGAAACAGTTTCCCAGAGTTTATGTGTTCCTACTGATTTTAAGAGTGCTTAGTTCATTTGATGTGGTTATAATATTGCAAAACATATTCAGATGGTGGGGTACAAACTGAAAGTCTGGGATTCAAAGTCTTATTTAAACCTGTAAGGAAACAGGAAGTCTTAGGATTTTTAATGTCAAATTTGTGATGTGAAAAATTGTGTAAAAAGTAATAATTGTTCATGTTGTGATATTCTCATGTTAACTTTTTTAAATAAAAGTTTGACTCAAATTGTTATACTTATACTATTATCAGACTGAAAGAATTGGGAATTCTTATGTTAAATTAGAAAATTGCTAAATAGAAACATTCCACTAATATCAGATATTGTACAAACGTCATATTTGAAAAATATGCACCAAGTTTCAGTAGGCCTATCTACTAAAATATATACATCAGTGAAGGGGAGTGAAGCGGAGCCAATGCTTGTCCATTTTTAACCTCTGAAGCATGTTTATATTTAATGTGAGATTATAGGACTTACTTTATTTCTGCTGGGAATAACAAGTTTCGAAGAGAAGAATCATCAGTAAAACAATGCAGTGCAGCACAGCGCTCAGTGGGATGCTTACTGAAGTTGTTTGAATGACCTACATTACACAGAAAGGCTTCTTTACCTGCAGTGTTGTACATAATGAAGTACACGCCAGTTCCTCCTAAACACAACAACACTTTGTTTGGAATATATATACAGTATGTATTGTCAAAACATTGATGGAAATGTCACTGATCACGATTTAGTGTCAATGTCAAACTACGATCATATCTGTGGCTACAGTGCATTCTTAGTGAATTCCCTCCTGAGCGTATTTT